TACAAGGATAATTCCAACCAGAGGTACTAAAGGGCATATGTGGTAGGTGCTACAGTGGAAACCTCTCTGATTAGATTCTCGTGTCTTAGAAACTATCTAGCTGAGCATATGTCTTAGTCGTCCCAAGATAACTTGGTACATCAATTGTCCAGTAAACAAACTCATTTAGACACTTCTTGTACTATATAATCATTTTAGGCGGTAATGAACAACTCCTCATTAAGCAAATTATATTACCGGAATAAAATCGGGCAGGATTTATAGTTTGGCCAAAACTGAATCATTATTGGTCTTGAATCTTGATTTTTCTAGTTCAAGGTTGCCTTTGAGGCCTTCAATCCGGTTAATATTGCTCCACCACTCTTTCTAGACCACAACTAATTTGTTAAGTGCAAGTACACATCATTTCATAACCGAGCAGAGAAATATGTACCGTAGAGGAGGAATGGAAGTTTACCATCATGCCCCTCAATCACTCCGCTGCTAAGGTTCAGAACACCCCCTATAGTATGTGGTGTTCCGATAGATCGTGTGTTACTTAGTAACGGGGAGTTACCATATGTTGGTGTTGACGAACCGCGAAACTTCTCAACACCACTTCAGGTTCTTGTTCTTAATGACAAAAAGATAAAAGATAATCACATAAAGAATGGACACAAGGATTTACGTGGAAAACCCAAACAGGAAAAACCACGGGTTGAGCTCAGAGCTTGGAGGATACTTTACTATATGAAATTAACAAATGGGTACAATACACACATGTCACACCCGACAACGCCGACTTCCACACAACCCTCACTCACGCTCTTTGTCTATTAACTCAACACTCGAGATCTCTACAATATAAGAGACTCTCCTTCACTCTAACTATCTATACTTTCAAGAGAACAAGTGGAAAACTTAGATTACCCTTGGATTGCCTTTTATTCCTCTCCACAATGAGAGCATGCCTTTTTATAGGCCTTGATTAACCTTTTCATCTTCCAAAATACTTGGGAATACACAAATCTGTCTAGATTCGGGAAGGGTACTTTGACTAACCATAACTCCATCCATACTGCTCTGATTCCTATGATTCAAAGCTTGGAGTAAACTATGCATGTACCTCTACAACTTTCATGTAGAGTTCCAAGCCAAATAATGACCGCACCATGCTCGAAAAGACCATGCAAAATTATATCTGCATGCAGAAAATTGCAGCAATAAATTTAGTTGGAAATTGAGCCAACTCCAACAATCTCCACCTTAGCGAGATATCTGACGCTACTCAAAATTTTAAGCTGCATTTTCGGAGTATTAGTCTTCGAAATACGAGTTTCCGAAATGTCAATCTTCATCTGAATCACGAACACTTGTCTTCGGAACATAGATCTTCAGAATCTAAGAAGTTAGACTCCGAAACTTCAGAGCAAGTCCTGCTCTAGCTTCAGCTGTTTCACCTTGATGAGCATCAACTCATCTCCCCGCACCTTTGGTGACTAGGTGCACTCATGAGCTAACATGTAGGTAAAAGTGCATAGCAGGCTTCATCTTCCCATTTAAATCGTTGAGGAGGATTGATGACTCTTCTCTGTCTTGATTATGCAATACTTGTAGGTTCTGCATGAACCTCTTCGGCTTGTTGCTGCTCGTCGTATTGCTCCATCTCAGCTTGACTTTCTAGAATATATACTTCCATTGACAAAGCAATTTCAGTACGACAACGATTCTTTTCATGATCCTCATCTTTGTCAATAGCTTTAGCTCCAAGTCTTTCATCAAACACGACATCTCTACTCAGTACTTTCTTCTTATTTTTGGATCTCACAGCTTGTAGCCTTTCACTCCCTTCTCAAAACTGAGAAAAATGCACTCAAGTGACGTTGTCTTCAGCTTGTTCCGTTCGTCATTTGGAATATGAACATACCATCTGAAAACCTTCAGAGTAGAATAGTCAACTTCTTTGTCCAACAATACTTCTTCGACACATTTAAAGTTCATCAGCTTAGACGGTGATCGATTAACCAAGTAGGCAGTATGGTTAACGGATTCAGCCTAAAAAAGACTCGGGCAATCCTGCATGAAGTCTCATTCATCTTTATTTCTCCATGAGAGTCTGGTTCATCCTTTCCGCTGCACCATTCTGCTGTGGAGTTTTCTTCACTGTAAAGTGTCGCGTAATGCCTTCTTGCTTACAAAACGCTAGAAACCATCATGATATTCACCTCCGTTGTCACTTCGCAAATACATGATCTTCCATCCAGTTTGATTCTCTAATTCTGTCTTCCATTCTTTAAACTTCTCAAAGACCTTAGATTTCTCCCACATAAAGTAGACCCAAATTTTTCGTGAATAGTCATCCATGAAGGTGACAAAATAACGAGCACCACTATGAGATTTTGTCGGTGTCGGCCCCAATACATCGGAGTGAATATAGTTGAGAATCCCCTTTGCACGATTCTCCTTGTTTGTAGGCTTGAATGAGACATTATTGCATTGCTTTCCAAGTCTACAATACTTGCAGAAATCCAACTTGCAAGTCTCCATGTTCTTCAACAGCTTCCTCTTGTGCAGCTCCTCCATAGCCCCGCTCACTCATATAGCCAAGATGAAGATGTCATAGATGAGCCGAGTCTTTCCCAGAGTCAATCTTGGAGTCCTCTTTAGAAGTTGTGGATACGACAACTTTCCCTGAGACAGTATCTCCTAGAATCTTGTACAAGTTGTTGGAAAGCTTCTCTCCTCGCATGATCACCATCGAGCCCTTACAAATCTTGGTCTTTCCTCCGCCTGAGGAGTAGGTGAGGCCGTTTGCATCTAGAGTGCCCAAAGAAATCAGGTTCTTCTTGAGTGCAGGAATATGTCACACGTTGCCAAAAGTACGAATGATGTCATCATACATCTTCACATTCACTATGCCAATTCCGATGACCTTGCACGCGGCATTGTTCCCCATGAGGACTTCACCTCCATCCTTCTTTTCATATGTGTTGAACCAAAACATGTTTGCACACATATGAAGAGAGCAACCTGAATCAAGAATCCAAGAATTAGAAATGGTTTTACCCGACGAAACTGAAAGAAGCTTAGCACTGTTCTCCTTAGCAACTCCAGCCATAGAGGTGGTTTCAGATTTCTTCCCTTCTTTCTGATCTACCTTGAACTTTCTGCAGTTCTTCTTGAAGTGGCACTTCTTATGCCAGTAGTAGCACTCCTTATCCTTGTGGCTCTTGGATTTAGATCTCCCGTGGTTGTCCAACTTGGAACCTTTCTCCTTGGATCGACCTCGATCGTTCAACTCCTTGACGAGTAGGCCTTCATTTTTCAAGTCAACTCTCGCGCTCTTGTTCATTTCGACATGAGAGATGATATTTTGAACAACCTCTTCAAACCGAAGAGTCTCCTTGCCAAGCATGAGTATGGTCCGAAAATGTTTGAATGATGACGACAAGGATCGTAGTAATAGCAAAGCTTTATCCTCTTCTTCAAACTGGACCTCCACTCGCAACAAATTCGTTATATAACGGTTAAACACATTAAGATGCTCCATAATATCATCTCCATCTTCCATACGAAGATTAAACAATTCATCTTTTAAGAAAAGCTTATTAAAGAGAGTCTTTTCCATGTAAAGATTCTCTAACTTCTCCCATTTGCCCCTTGCGGTAGTCTCCTCCATCACGTTGTAGGTGACTTCGTGGGATAAGTGTAGCTCAATCGAGCTTATCGCCTTGAGGTCTGCCTTGTTCCAAGCCTCCATAGACATAGTCTTCAGCTTGTGCTCAACCCCCATAATACACATGTGTAGATCTTGTTGAATCAAGATATTCTTTATCTTACACTGCCATAGTGTGAAATTGCTTCAACCATTGAATGACTTCAACTCAACCATCACACCGTTGATTATTAACTTGTCTTCAGCTATTAAGAACACTACAACCTTGCTCTGATACCACTTGTTGGTGTTGACGAACCATGAAACTTCTCAACACCATTTCAGGTTCTTGTTCTTAATGACAAAAAGATAAAAGATAATCACATAAAGAATGGACACAAGGATTTACGTGAAAAACCCAAACGGGAAAAACCACGGGTTGAGCTCAGAGCTCGGAGGATACTTCACTATATAGAATCAACAAATGGGTATAAGGCACACATGACATACCCGACAACGGCGACTTCCACACAACCCTCACTCACGCTCTTTGTCTATTAATTAACTCAACACTCGAGATCTCTACAACACTAGAGACTCTCCTTCATTCTAACTCTCTATGCTTTCAAGAGAACAAGTGGAAAACTTAGATTACCCTTGGATTTCCGTTTATTCCTCTTCATAATGAGAGCATGCCTTTTTATAGGCCTTGATTAACATTTTCATCTTTCAAAATGCTTGGGAATACACAAATCTGTCCAGATTCGGGTAGGGTACTTTGACTAACCATAACTCTATCCATACTGCTCTGATTCCTGTGATTCAAAGATTGGAGTAAACTATGCATGTATCTCTACAACTTTCATGTAGAGTTCCGAGCCAAATAATGACTGTACCATGCCCTAAAAGACCATTCAAAATTGTATATGCATGTAGAAAATTGCAGCAATAAATTTAGTTAGAAATTGAGCCAACTCTAACACCATACGCATTCTAATATAGGGTTTTTCTTAACAGATGCTCATGAGCGCTCATTAGGAATGAGAAAGATAGAAAGAAAACTAAAAAGAAAAATTATTACGGATCGAGAGGAACTCACTTGCTATTTATTTCTGCTCTCTCTTATCTTTTGACGAGGGCCCGTACGCATCCCTTAAAAAATTGTCTAACATATCAATCTTAAAAGAGTTTTGTCATTAGAATTGAGATACATCTAATGACAAATGACAGATAGTTAATTAAGAGCTTGTGAAGCGGCGTGTCATTAAATTTAGAGACAAGCAAGCATGGGCTAGCTGTCGTTAACTTTTCTATTTAAAGAGACACATATGTGGCCCTTTGCCTCCTCACAAAAGAGAGGGGGAGCTCGAAGAATAAAGGATGCCGATGTTCCCTTCTAATCAGACTCGGGCCCTTTTATTCCCCTTCTGCTGATCTGTCAGAGAAGCTCAGGTGGGAGATTCTTGATGCATACCATCCTATATATTGCCAATTTTGTTTACTTTATTATTTTTCCTTTTTCCTTTCTTTCTTTTTTAATGTATTTGGTTGGCTTCGTTTCTCCCATTTGTCCTAGCTCTTTCTCTTCCATGGAGTCTTCAGAGGAATGCAGCAGCAGTGAATCAGGATGGACTAAGTACCTAGCCTCCCCCATACATGATGATGACGATGACGAAGGCGGCGATGATGATGATGGATATGGGCACGAAGATGGTGGGGTTGAAGATCATGGTAGTAGGAAACGCAGCAAGAATGATAGTGATGATGATAAAGATGACAACGATGATGACTCCATGGCGTCTGATGCATCAAGTGGTCCATCATCATACATAGGCCATGGGGAGGGAAGTAAGCCCAAGAATGAGAGAGGTGGTGGAAAAAACCAGAAGGTGGAGGCAAAGAAAGAGGAGAGACGGACAAAGGGCTCAAAGGATTCTAAGGTGAGGAAAACATAGGCCTAAAGTGATGGTAGATTAATGTTTACCACCACAGAGAATTCTTTTGTTATAAATATGACAAAGTGTTATGCCCGAGTCCGGGTGGAGCTGCTTTTCTTTATTTTGTATATTTAATCCATTTGTTTTCTATGGATGCCTTTATTAGTTATGCCCGTACTTTTAAAAAAATAATTATAAAAAAAGTTAGCTCACTGAATAAGCATATAGATTTTTTATTTTAAATTTTGAAATACAAAATTAGGAGCACTACGTGCTAGATCTTTGAGACATTGGACTAATAGTAAACTATAAATATTTTTTTATACATAAAAGAGGTATTTAGACCATTTCTTTTTCTTAAGCTCTTCCCTTTTGTGTAGTTCAGTTTGTCGTTGAAAGTTTTTTTTTTTGCTCTTAGAAATGCACATTATGGTTTTCTTTATGTGTAATATGTTACACTTGATTCTCTTATCTTTTTGCAATTTTTCAGTCTCATCTTAATTTGATAGCCCAGTTACATTGTATTTTATATATTTTCAAGTGTGTGTTTGATTTTTTTTTTTTTGGAAGGGTGTTGTTTATAATGTCTAGATTATATGAGTTTGTTTGTAGTTATCAAAATTTTCAAGAGTTTGCTTGTAATTTTTTAATTTTTAGGAGCTCACTTAATTATAATTTGAAAATATTTAAGGCCTTTTATAATTTTTTTCGTTTTTTAGCTTTTTTTTTTTTGCAATTAGATTTTTAGAGGGCTGTATATATATTTTTTATTTTTTAAGGATTTGTTTGTAATATTTTGATTTTTAGGGATTTATCTATACTTTTAGAAATCTAAGAATGGTTGTTTAAAATATTACAATTTTTTGTGCGAGTTGTTTGTAATTTTAGATTTTTTAGGCAGCTATGTGTAATTTTCATATTCTTCAAAACTGTTTTTCATTTTTTTATTAAAAAATTGTTTGAAATCTTATGGACTAACTTGCAAATATGAATGATCTTAGTGTAGTATATTTGATCTGAAGGGTTAATTATCATCTATATAAAATTATGGAGCAACACCATTATGGAGACTAAGTGCAAAAATTCAAAGCCATGTTTTCTTAAATTTTTAATATTATTGTGAGTTTAGTGAGAGTTTCAAAAATCTTGGGGATTAAATTCTAAATGCCCAAATCAATGGGAGGTTTATGAAAAAATTTTAGGATTAATAAATAATTATAATTTGTTAGGATTATAAATATTTAAGTATTAGAATTAACTTAAAAACTATAGGTTGAATAAGTCAAGATAAGAAAAGTCTTTTATGATTATTAAAATTAAAATTTTTAATTATGGATGCTTATAATTTAATTAGGATTATCAAATATGTTTATTATTAGATATTTTTAATTTTGGATAGTGTTCACTCAATGAGGATTCTAGCTGAAAGTAGAATTAGATGTTTACATATAAAAAGGGGATATGACACAACATTGTTTTATGTGCTTGATTGGCATTATTTTGTGGATTTTGAACATCCCAACAATTTCTCTTTATTATATAAAGAGGATATGATTATTAGATTTGTCAGTTATATATAGTTATAATTTGATTATTATTATTAAATATTTAAGTATTAGAATTTTTAACTATGAATTGTTTTAATTTAATGATAATTCTTAGGTGAAAAAAAAAGATTAGGTGTCCATGTATTATTTTATGATAGGATAGAGAGACATGTGACTATTTATGATATAACTAGGGGCAGAGCAACATACACAGGGTGTCAAGTGACACCACCCTCAATCACACAATAATGCACCATGTGTGAGCTTTAAAACAAAGTGACACCCTAATTATTTAGACATTATGTAATGACCCATTAACTTTTAATGGGCAATACTTAAAAATAAAGTTACTCTAGGAATATAAACTTAAACAATTCAATTTGTCACATATCAATGAGCTATAAATACCATAAATTTAGAAAAAAGGAAAAAAAAAGATACATAAGTTATATTGAAAATGATGTATTTAGTGGTTCTGTCTATTGCTAAATAATTTCAAAATATGACGACAAGTACAGATCAATTGTAATTGTATTTAGTTAAATATCTTTTGTATCTCATTAAAGTTTTGAATTATATTGAATGGGAGATAAAATTTAGTGATATCACTTTTTATATATATACTAGTATAATGCACGTGCTTTGCACGTGAATGTACATGTTTTAAGTTTTGAATTTTTTATTGAATAATTAAACTATATATTAATAAATAAAATTTTATAATAAGATTTCTTTAAAATATATGAATTAATTATTATTGTATAGTTATTGTAATTGATTTTTTTCTTACAATGATTCGCTCAGTGCTAACCTTTTTTTAAATAAGTTCCCCAAATCTAATTTTATTCTTATATAATACCAATTTTATAACTTCTCTTAAATATGTCTCTCCAACTTGAAAATTGTTAACTTAGTTCTGAATTAACTATGTTGTGTTAATCTTGCTAGTTTTTTTTCTGATGTTTTCTACATATTACACTTAATGTCTTCGACATATTGCAGTAGTTATTTCTCATTATAATTATTTAATAGTATAAACTACACTAAGCCCTTATGAACATTTAGCCCCTATGAACTTTCAAAATCATACTAAACCCCTAATGACTTTCTAAAATTTGCAAATAAATCCTATGAATTAGAACCAAAACTGGCATGAAAAGACATTTTGAAAGTTGTTGGAGGTTTAGTGTAATTTATCTAAAAGCTAATGAGGGCTTTTTACAAAAGTTATTAGGGGTTTTGTGTGAATTTTTACAGTTCATAGCATCTATTTACTACAAAATGTCGAAAGTTCATGGGGGTTTACTATAATTTACCTTATTTAATATTATAATTGTTAGTTCAAGTAAAATTATTAAAATAAGTATACTATTAAATATTTATCTAATTTAATTTTTTAATTATGCACTTAAATAATTTAGTACTATAAATATTTTATAAATTTTTATTATACTATCATTAATAATTAATAGTACTATTATTAATATTAAATAAATTTTTTGAAAGGTTAGTTTTTAATCATTGCCAAGCATAGATTATTCAGTATCATGTAATAATTTTTGAGCAAATACTTGAAAAATAATATTAAATTATTTATTCAATTTATGTAATAATTTAATACTAAATATATAGTGTAATTCGTAATTTATGTGATATTACTAAAATAATTACACTATTTATATGATTAAATATTTATTTTATTGATCATTGAACTATAGTATAATTCTTAATAGTATTTAGTAATATATTATTCTATTTATACTATTATGTTAATTGTTTTATTATAATTCATAAATAATTATTATAATAATTTAATTAGTTACTACTAATAATTGTGTATACTTATCTAATAAATTATTTTATTATATTAGTTTTAAACAAGTAATAGTTATAATGTTATTGATAATTACAATTATTTAGGAAGTTAATGAGGTTTATAATTAATAGGAGGTTATATTTATTTAATGATATATTAATTAGAGATAATGATATAGTTAGAATTTATCACAATTTGAGAGGGAAAAAAGGAAATTAAAAGTTCTAACACTCCAATTCCCCTTTTATAATAGTATAGATTATGACAAAACTCTTATGAATTTCTGGCTCCACCACTAGATATGACACATGTCAAATTTTTATACCTTTAAAAATAACATATGTCAATTTTTTATGCATTTAGAAGAACAGTCAATTTCTCATTATATATAAAGGAGGAAAAAGAGGGGCTACTAACGAAAACATGAGATATTATATAATTAAGCATATATTATCCTAATTGTTTAGCCTAGCTACTTATCTTTTTCGGGCCAAAAGTACTAATGATGGTAGAAATGTTGACAGTTGATTGTACTATATTGTACTAAATATACTGCCAATTCGTGTACAACTTTGAAGAAAAGAGAAATGGGAAAAAAGTAATTATGGGCCCGGCATGATACTTGATATAAACTTATTTCCTGTGATATGGAAATTTTAATGGGGACATGGAAATTTTAATGACTGAAAATATGAGAGCTGTCTAAATAGATCCATTCGGCCCGGATTTTCGGGCCGAAAATGCCTAGTCCTGACCCGGACCCGGGGTGCTTTGTCCGGGCCCGGGTCAAATCAGGTTGAGCTTCGGGCTGGCCCTGGTTTTCTTTTTTTTATAATTTTTTGGGTTTTTTGTTTTTTACTAAAAATTAAAAAAAAATAGATTAATCTTATTATATTTGTATAAGGGAAATTTTTTTAAAAATATATTTTTTGCTAAATGATTAGCAAAATCGGTTGGCCAAAAAGAGGTCGATTTTAAAAAACGCCCAGCTCAGATTATACGGGACTACTAGTCATGTATGTTTTAGGTGAACTAATCAGCGATTAATGCTCACAGAAAACATACGGGACTTCTAGTCTCGTATGTTTTCTGTGAGCTTACCAAAACGTACGGGACTAGTAGTCTCGTACGTTAGGTAGGTTTTTTTGCCTATGCCCAACAAACCCACAGGACTACTAGTCCCGTGGGTTTGCTGGGCAGAGGTAAAACATGCACGTGCCTCTAACTTCGTATACAGTATTATTTGACCAAAATTTTCACTAAAAAATATTATCCATATTGTATACATTGATTAAAGTTATAACTTTACAACATCACAACACAAATCTAAAAAATACACAACATCACAACACAAATCCGACGAAATGCACAACATCACAACATAAATCCGACAAAATACACAACATCACAACAGAAACCCAACGAAATACACAACATCACAACACAAATCCAACAAAATACACAACATCACAAAATACTCTAAATAAATCCAAATTCTATAAAATAAACACCGGATAATAACAAGTTTAATCAATTCAGAACATCACAACACAATATACATGTCATATGCATACCAATACGGAAAAATTCTAAACAATTCCAATTGTATCAAGTCTACCCATAAGATAATATGTAGTCTAAGCTAAACAAATCCAAGTGTATCAATAATTCCATACAATAATATATAATCTTAGTGGAAAAGCTAACAAGCTAAAAGTCTGCCCTCCCCCGTCGTCTCCCTCTTCGCACCCGCTCGGATCGTCAGCGGCCTCCTTCGACTTAAGCTTGTATATGCTCGCTTTCCGGTTGTGTGTGGGGCTGTGACGGTCCCGCTTGCTATGACGGACCGGCTTCATCGTCGTGCAAGCAAGATCTACTACGTCTTAGTCGGCGTGCATATAAAGTATCTTCATGCACCACCTGCTCGTGACCTTCATGCCGATCCTCATGAGTTTGTCGAAAAGCTCTACGAACCCTCGCGACTATCTGATGCAAGAATGATACGTGTACTGGATCTTCTGTGGCGGTAGCAATGCCCTCATTTGCAATCCCCTCTACCTCGTCCATAGCGTCTATCTACAATTACATAAAAATATCGATACATATAAGAAACCAAAAGCTAACAAGAGATTGAAAACTCTATTATAATTTTCATAATTACTTACTCATTGTCTCTCATCTACCCTCTTGGTACATATCGGGATTGTTAGGAGTAAATCTCGATTTCATCGACCGAAGGCATGGTTTGAGTGATTATCCAACGTCTGGTAATCCCCTAATACCATCTAATATAATCGACTTCCTCCATCGGAGGATAAAGCTAATCAACAATAAGTTGATGTCGGTCATTCCATCTAGTAATGTATGAATGATGCATATTCCGCCAGTCAATCTGATGGCCACCTTTAAAAGTCTTTCTCTCTATTTGTTTGACATATTCTGGAGCGTGCTGCGCGAATCCAAACTATCTAAACACGCGATCCGGCATGTGCTTCTCCAAAATTTCGAAACAAATGAGAGGAACTCTGGTCCTCTATATGTCGTGTTCCTCCATTCAAATCAACGGTAGACGAGGTAGGTAAGGTGTGTATGGCTACCACTCGAACTGCAAAATAATTCATATATTAATAACTCTTTGAAATATATCGGTAGCTTTAAACGACTTCAATTCAAATTCGATACCTGAAAAATTTTCATTTGATCGAGCTCCCCTCTGTAAAAATCTAACTGTCTTGCCGGAGTCTCATCGTAGGTTTTAGTGACATTCCATCTACAAGTATGATATAAGGTAGGTTTTTGTTCAAATTTTTAAATTTTAAATTAAATTTAATGATTTTTACATGTAGCCTAGTGGAATCTGTCCATCTAACTCTCGTATCTCGCATAATCGTGGTCTCAAAACCAACCTCTTCCATGCCCAAACTTGTAACAATGTTAAACATCCCTTAAGTTCTTTATTTTGTATTAAAGCAATCTTTGACATTTCTCGATATAGGTATGCCAAAATAGCGCTACCCTATGATAATGTGCCACACATGTTAAAGTTCTCGAGAAGTGGTAACTACCTATCACATATTCAAATGTGTTAGTCATATTTTATAAAAATAGTGAGCAAAAATCTCTCCTTATCAAATTCAATTGCATTATAACAATAATAAGTTGTCTTACCTTAAATGCACTTTATGTTTACTTTGTTGGTCATCTTGTTTTGATGATGATTTAATAAACAATTTAAGATTAATATTGGTTTTAGTATTTTGTTTTGTGTTGTTTAGTATACATAGGAAAACAAGCTACATGGATATTGAAGCCTATGCAAATTAAGTCAACCAATCAAGTTCAAGCTTCATATGATTCACTCTTGGTATACTTAGTATAGGTTTATATGTAATGTGTGCTAATTCTTCAAGCTCAAATTTTACACACACGTTTATTTGTGAAATTTCTCAAATCATAGGTATTTTTATGCAAAATATATTTTAATATGCTTGGATTATACAAACATTATTAACATCTTTTATTAAGTCCATAAAAACATTACACAAGTTTTCAAAACTTGATTTGAGCTAAATGTTAAAATCAACATATTTATAAACACATGTATTTTAGTATTTTTGAATATTTCTGAGATTTCACAAATGGTAAGAGCAAATTGAACCTTTTCCAACATGTTCATATTCATGTTTATAAACTTTTCCCAAAGTTTTATATTTTTTAGAATTTATTTGCTCATTTTAAAAGAGATTTGAATTTTACTTTTACTATTCAATTCAGGCTGAAAACCGATTATCAGTCGACTGATAGTTTTATTAATCGACTGATGAAACCGCCTGGAATCATCAATAGTTTCTATTACCTATTCGGTCGACTGACCAATCGACTGATGAGGTCATCAGTCGACTGACGAGATTCATCAGTTGACTGATAAGCTGTTAGCTGCCTGTAACGGTCAGCTCATCAGTCAACTGATTCAGCTCATTAGTCGACTAACACCTGTAACGGCTAGTTTTTTCAGCATTTTGTATTTTTGCTGGGTTTTCTTAGTTTTTGGGCTTTGGTTTTCATCCTATAAATACCCCTCACTATTTCACTTCTGAATTTTATCTAAGAGGGGTTTAACAAGTGTTTTTAAAGAGTTTAAAAGATTGTTTAAGTTTCTTTTTCAAGTTTGGTGTTTGTTTACAAAGAGGAATCTTACATCGTCAATTGAGGAATTCATCCTCAATCTTCTTTTTCCTCTCTTTGTGTTTATATAGAAGTTTTCCTAACTCATTTATCTAGCATTTTATTTTTTTTATTTTCATATATATATATATATATATATATATTTGAGTTTTTAATATTTCATACACTATATACTTGGGTTGTGGGATTGTGATATTGTGAGAGTGAGCTACATTGTGTTCTCATCCATTATAGAGAACAAATCATTTGTAATTGAGACTATATTGTGAGTTATACTTTGTAATACACATTTACACCAAGAGGAGTGTGTAGTGAGAACGTAGTCGATACCAAGAGTAGTGGCATTGGTAGTAAAACCTAGTGAGAGGTAGTAAAGTCGAGCACTTGAGGGAGGCGATACATGAAGACCAACACTTGAGGTTGTAGTATGTGTATATACATTGTGAGTGTCTTGTATACTTTTCGGTGAACTAGAAAACCCAGTGTGTAGAGAAGTTTCGGCTTCCAAACTGGGTGTGTCGATATAGTGGAGATCTCCTCGAGGTGAGGAGCGGAGATGTAGGTCAAGGGTTAACTGAACTCCGTGATCGTATCTTGTATTTGAGTTTGCTTTGTGTATATTTATTTTGTGCTTGTAATTTACATTCTTTCTCATAACTCATTCATATATTTGAGTTTGCTTTGTGTATATTTATTTTGTGCTTGTAATTTACATTCTTTCTCATAACTCATTCATATATCTTTTGCAAGAATTAATTAATCAAGTTTGTGCTTGTAATTTACATTCTTTCTCATAACTCATTCATATATCTTTTGCAAGAATTAATTAATCAATAAATTTTTTAAGTGGCATAAAATCGGAATTAGATTAACATTGACCCTATTCGTCCCCCCTCTAGGGTCCAACATACTTGAGTCAGGAAAAAGAAGCGTCCCGATCATGTGCAAAATATATGCTCTAGTATGTTGTTGGATCATGACTTCTGATGCATCTTCTGGCAAAGGGTTTGCAAAATTCTACTTTAGCCACTTCAATCTAATATGTCCTCCAGGCAAAGACTCCAGCGTGTTGTGGAACATGTTACTTGACATTACACCCGAGTCATTTTTTAAGTGCAAAGCACTTTGAGATAACGAGATTTGATTTTCAAGCATGCGGGAGAACTCTCCGTGAGCATATGAAACTTGGGCAACCCCAGACATTGGAATATTTTCAATGAACAACTCGATTGAGATTTGTTTTTCCGCAAGTTGTATCATGTCATTAAACTCTTCATCATTGGTGATCTCTACAGCAATTGTTCTTTTTTCATTTATTGAACAATTATAGAAGACCTTAATGGCATTTTCGGCATGATTAATTCTAGTAACTCTGTATATAGACATATTATTCATTCCAACACCCAGTTTTCCATTGAATAAGCAAATAATCGATATTTCATTCGCCATTTTAACTGAAGAATTAAAATTCATCATATACAAATTGGTTTTTTTTCTCTATAATGATATCATAATTAAAATATTTCCTCTAGATATACAATATTAGCTAAACAATATAGAGAATTTTATGAAAAAAAATAAGAAATTTATACCTTGATGAACTTTCAGATCTCGTCGGCGTCGGAGAGAATAGACGGCGTCGGTGTCAGATTTGAGGGAGGAAGAGGTGAGTTGGGTTTGGAAGAAAGGGAGAGAGGGAGATCCGGATTGTTGGGTCGGGTTTGGGAGAGATGAAAATTGGGTTTGGGAGGGAGATCAGTTTGGGAGAGAGGGAGATCATGTTTGGGAGAGAGGGAGATCGGGAGAGAGAGAGGGGGTGGGAGAGAATGAGGTCGGATGTGCCCTAGTTTGGGGCACAGCTAGGCTTTATATAGCCCGACAATACGGGACTACTAGTCCCGTAGAATTGTCAGGCATTCATTTGCTCTGCCAAGCAAACCCACAAGACTACTAGTCCAGTAGATTTGCTGGGCAGAACAAATATTCAGCTTAAAACATATAGAACTAGTAGACTCGTATGTTTTCTATGAGCACTACTCGGTGATTAGGTTATTCAAAACATACAGGACTAGTAGTGTCGTATGTTCTAAGATGGACGTTTTTTAAAATTGACATCTTTTTAGCCAAAAAGATGTCGATTTTGCTAAATAATTAGCAAAATGATCAATTTTTCTAATTATTTAGCAAAAAAGGTTTTTTAAAAAATTCCCCTTGTATAAGTATGTATTAATATATACTTACATATTAGTATATAGATATATATTATATGTAAGTATATTTAAGTATATATTAATGACAATATATACTTAGAAATATATATAAGTATGCATTAATGATTCGGAGGTCTCAAAACTTAAAACAACAAACATGAAATCAAAAAATTAATAGTAGTTTTTGATGAATTTAAATTTATAGTTAACACCTCAATGTCTCAAAAATTATAGAAATATCCTCAAAAGTTCAAATTACAAACAAACACATTGAAATTCTAAAATTTCAAAATTTGCAAATAACATAGATGAATTCAAAGGATTACCACGATGCACCTAAAAACTTCTAATATTTCAAAACTTAAAACAACAAACATGAAATAAAGAAATTAACAACAACCTCCTAAGAATTTAAAATTTCCAAATTAATATTCTCAATGTCTCAAAAATTATAGAAATACCATCAAAAGTTCAAATTTAAAAAAACACCCTAAAATTCTAAAATTTTAAAATTTACAAACAACAAAAGATGAATTTAGGATATTACCCTTAGGCACCTAAAAATTTAAAATTTGCTAAAATTAACCTCAAAGTTACAAAAATTGTTAAAAAGAACTCCTTCAAAATTTAAAAATAAAAAACTCTAAAATTTCAAAATTTATAATCAGTGCACATCTAATCTAGAAACTATTGATAGACCACTAAAATTTAAATTTTTAAAAATTATTCTATAGTTTTAATCATTATAAAAAGCACCCTCAATATTTAATGTTGCAAGAAATATCTCGACATTTAAAAATTATCACGAACACGTGAAATATAGAAGTTACAACTACCAAACTTAAAATTAAAATTTTTAAAAAACACTCCCAAAGTTTTAAAAATTATAAATCACACCCTCAAATTTCAAAACCACAAAAGAAGAGTTGAAATTTTAAAACTTGGCAAAAAAAAGTGTAATTGTTTAATATTCTTATATTTGAAAATTTTATAAATTCTAATATATTAGTATATAATAATACTTATATATATATATATATATAATATAATATATATATAAATATATATATATATATATATAGAGAATATGGGATATCGCTTGGTACAAGCATAAAATTTTGTGCTTGTACTGATGTGTTCACATCCCCATTCGCTTATTACCCATGAAATGGTCTGACATTTGAGTGAGTGGAGAACACTTGTACACCTCAGCTCCCACATACTTTTTGTGTTGTACAAGCCATACCATTTCTCCTCTCTCTCTCTCTACGTCTCCTCTCTCTCTCCTTGCTCTCTCTCCCTCTCTAATATATATTATATATATATATATATATATATATTATATATAATATATAATAATATATATATATATATAATATATATGTATAATGTATAATGTATATGTATATAATTTCTAATTTAGAGTTTACTATCCCTTTTCAACATCTAAAAACAGTTTAAGTTGATACTGGTAAACAAAAGCAATAAGAATTGATTAAAAATATCCGATTAAGAATAAAATTTTGAAAAATATTATGACTTAAAAATTATTATCACTATATTAGTTAAAGTAACTGTATATAATTTTACTAATAAGTTGGAGCAACAAAAATACATTAGTAATATTAATTGATAGATGTTTAAATCTATAAAAATGATAAAAGACTATAATATAATAGCTTATCATTAGTTGATTATAATTTAAAAACATTAATCTCTAATGTTAATAATATTTATAGGGTAAAAGAATACAAGGAATTACCTATGGAGAAACGATCAGAATGTTCAGAGATATCCTTCAAAAGAATCAAGCTATATCCATTGCAAATGGAAAAGTAACAGAAATAAATCTAAAATTCAAAAAATGTCCATGAATCACTTAAATTGGCATTTACATAAGACATATTTATTAAAGAACCACCAACTCAGTTATATTGAAGAATAATTTAATAATTTTGTCACAATTAAAGAATAATTCTCCATGAAAGATATAAGAAAAATTAGCGTGTATTAATAAATTTCATACTTTGTTCTTCAAATACTAAAGAAATTAAATATTAATATTATAATCTAAGGCAAATTGGTAATGAAGAATGTAGGTATTTAGTTTAGATGTTTGTGAAAATGACAAGGATAGAGCAAATGTGATATTATTGACATAATAGAAGCTCTTATTGGATGTACATCACAATAATTCATTGTAAAGAAAAGAAAAAATAGCTCCTAATCTTATTTAAGTTAAATTAGGAATACAAAGAATTATATATATATATATATATATGAAATTAACATTTATTCTCGTTGAAATAGAAAACAAATCAAAGTTTGTATTTTAAAAAGTTTGTGTTGAACATCAAAAATACATTTAACTTCTTTGCGTATTTAAATGTGAAGATAAAAGATTAACGAGTCCCTTGCAACATTATACTTTCTCACAATTGATATACATGATGAAGAAACTACTCTAGAATTACCCGAGAAAAAGATAAAGGTGAATAATGATTGATCTTAGCTCACCTTACTTGTATAACACTAGTTCGATATTTTTTACTTTTGTAACATTGTACTTTCTCAAGTAAAGCTTAGTTTCATGTCAACCAAAAAAATATAAAAATTCAAATTAGATTTAAATTATGTTTGTTTTCTGTCAATTCAAATATCACCATGAAAATTTAAATTAGATGTATCCCATTTAAACAAATATCAAAGAAAATAAATAATCACAATATTAAAGTTTAGAGATACAAGTGAGCACAAACTATTAAAGTGGAACAGATGAATAAATTTTAGTTAGAAATTAAGCCAAAAATACTTAATCATGGTATTTAACCACGTATATTGCACGTATATAAAACCTAGTGTGTGTGTGTGTGTGTGTGTGTGTGAATAATGGGTATGCTCGGTACCAAGCACAAAAAATTATGCTTGGTAGTGAGGTGACATAATCTCATCCACTCATTCAAATGGTTGTATATCCCCATACGCTCCTCAACACATGTGAATATGGTCCCCCATTTGAATGAGTAAAGGAGATTATGTCACCTCTACCAAGCACAAAATTTGTCTTGGTACCAAGCATACTTATAGTTCTTGTTAGACCCTAATACCACTAGGAAAGAACCCTAGAGGGGGGTGAATAGCGTTTATACTAATCTAATCTTATTTAAATGCTAATTAAACCTTATTAACAAATATATTCTTGCAAGATAGATATACAACTAATTATGAGCAAGAATATGCAATATGAACAAACGGCTATATCCTAGCAATAAGATATACTATAAGATATATGCAAGGATATACAAAACACTCAAGGGTAAACAAACTAAACTAGATAGTGGGTTATATAAATAATAGGCAATATACAAAGGCGATATAAGATATGAATATAAAAAATAAGTGCGCCAATGCAATCACAAACAAACGATATGTTCACAAGGTTCGGTCCCCACGACCTACGTCCCCGCTCCTCACCTCGAGGAGATCTCCACTATCACATCAAGTTTTCTACGCTTATCTGAAAAATGTTTACACCTCACAATACGGCTTTCTAGCTAACCGAAAACTTTACAATCCACACTCACAATGTAACTACACTAACTACCACCTCAAGTGTTGGTCCTCATGTATCGACTCCCTCAAGTGCTCGGAATTATCACCTCTCACTAGGCCACCGACGTCACTCCTCTGGTATCGACTCCGTCCTCACCACACACTCCTCTTGGTGTACTAGTGTATTATAAAGTGATCTTCATAAATAGGCTCACAACAAATGGTTTGTTCTCTAAACAAGATGAGAACTCAATTAAGCATAACTCAATGTTACAATACTCTCACAACCCCAATTATACTATGTATGTAAATACTAAAAGCTCAAGTGGGTGTGTGTAACAAAGAGATTTAATAAACAAAATCAAACTAAACTCAATTATGAAAATCTAGCTTATAAATATGATAATCAATAAACAATGTAAATACAAAGCTAGAAATTGAGTTTAGAAAACTTCTCTACAGATAACAAGAGAGAGGGAGAAGAGTGAATGCTCAAACACCAAAAGTTGATCTCCACTTG